GAGGTACTAATTAGTACATTTTAGGTACATTTTTTTAGTAAGTGGTATAATTTAATTCGCGATGGTACACCCGCCATTTTGACTCTCACGTATATTTGCTCTCCCTTTTCCATTTGCCGTTTCTTCATCAAAATGGGCATATAAACTATGTTGATACTCTGTCACCAGATGTCGTTTGTAGACCAAGAAATTATTTGACGGTGGTTAGGTGGAGTCGTGGTCAAGCGCTGGTTTATTTGTTAAAAAAAAATCTGAATCGGTGTAAATCAAATTCAGTTATAACAGCACACTAGCGCCCTCCCGTCAATATTAAAAAGTTCATTTCGTACTGTAGCTGTCATGTTATTCTTTTTCTTTTACCTATTTTTCTATCGCCATGAAGGTTTTATATATTTTCTGAACAAACCACGATAGCAGCGCCACTCCGATAATTCTTCTTTGACAATAATTGACTATTGTCAATAACATACTGATTATGTCATTTTTATGTTTACATTTAAATATTTTTTCTACTTTTAATTTTATACGCCAAAGTAACCTTACATAATATTGCATTTATATCGATACTGTAATGTTCAATTCGCTATATTTTTATTTTTACTGACTACTTTATAAATATGCTTACTCTTGTTTGCTTGTTTTTATAAACCCTAAAATGTTGAAAACACTATTTTTGAGGTAAGATACTTAAAATATATCTGCAGAAGTAAGAATTAGAGCACCACACTTTGACTAGACTATCGCACAACTGTTTGTTGCAGAATTGTAGATTTTTTCGCTGCCAATTCAACATGTTAGTTGCACACGAGTAGTGTCTCCATATAATCTCCATATAAGCTCATATGAATTAAAGTTCAAACAATTGACCAATAGTTTAGTCAAATGTGCGCGAACTCTTAATTTTAAACACGTTAAACACCACTTCAATTTTAATTTGTACTAGCTGTTCCCGTGCGGCTTCATCCGCATGAAATTATGAAAATTTTATTTTGTTTACATTTGTTAAATTCTCAATTGCAAGTGTCAAAATACCAATTACCTTACTGTAGCAACCTTGCTTCTTGATGTTGCCAGCATGTCTCGTATGGTCTCTTTCCCACATTAGGGTTTTTATCCAAAATATTTACCCCCTAAGTTTAATGGCATGAAAATATATAGCCTAAAGTGTGACGTAAGTGTAGGGATTTTTATCAAAAAAAGAATTATTAAAAAAAATGCTGTAATTGCTGACATCTTAGGCAACAAAGAAGTGTGTGTTTACGCTTTATTATATTAGTATAGATAACGGTTAACGGACATTCGCCCAGTTCTTGATCATCCATTAATCATATGATAAATTGATGGCATCGAACGTGTTAATTTTATTTTAAAATGTTAACAACCATTGTAACAAGATATTTAAATTTTAATGAATGTTTTAATTCAAGTGTTTTGTTGTATGTGTCCACTGACGCGTGGCCTTTAACTGTGGGGGAAGCGATAAATTCTCTATTTGATCAACTCCTCTATCAGAGCGTCTTGGATCCAGAATTATGTAAGAAACAAATAAGATACATGGCTTTAAATAATACTCGCCTTTTAGCTGAATGTAAGTCTAACTTTTAGATATTGTTTTGTTTTAAAATTGTATTTAATCTTATAAAGACGAAAGGTTAGATGGATGTTTGTTAGAGTTTGTAGCTTAAACGGCTGAACGGACGTAGAGGATAGCCTGGAAGAATACATGAAGTACTCGCTTTTGATTTTCTTTATTCAATGCGGATGGATTTGCGAGCGAAAGCTAGTTTAAATATAATTTTAAAATGTCAACGCCCAGCATCATCCTGCACGTATTTTTCGTAATAAATATTTCTAATCACAATTTTTTGATTTAATTTCTATTTAAAGACAAATTGATGCATTTTTTCAGTTTTGGACGCCGGGGTCAGAATACCTAGAGGATTATTCGATGACAATTCAGTTGACTTTGGAAATTATCATCAATGTTTGGGAATCGATTCGCCATTCGAACAATCGAGAATTTCGGGAAAGTACTGCGTTATACAGATTCCTTTACTACAGAACTTTACTATGCCTGGCTTCTCTGGAGATAACTCGACACTCGAAAATGATTTGATCAAACTTGGTCCTAGTGGAGAAATGCTATTAGATAAATATTATTCGATAGTCAACATGTACCGACTGATATTTGGTACAAACATTTATAACAGGTAATTATTTTTATTCATTATTTAGAGCGGGCGTACACCTTTGACTAAACTATCGCACAATTATTGTGCGATTGTCGGTTGTTTCGCAGTTGTTTAGTTGTACAACTAAAATCGAGTACTGTGACCATATAAGCTTGTAGGAATCAAAGCGAGACTAAACTGTGATGCGATAATTCGCACGGTCTTAATAAAAATTAAATTGTCACTAAATGATGACGGCTTTCATAGCTGATAATCAAAACGGTAGGCTTAAGGTTATAATTTTAGAAATAAACCGATACACACTAGAGAAAAACGTTAAATACCGTCAAATGAGTCAGGAACTTGTCCAGTCTGGTAAATTCGTTCAAAGTCTATGACTTGTGTTCCAGAACTAGTCCAATTTGTGGCGCAGTGTTACAAATGGCGGCGTGTGTTCCACGGACGTGCACCACAGATGACGCGATATCAGCCTTACTATTTAACACGAGTGCATATGGATTCGATTACGCAGAGGAATATTGTCGTCTACCAAATGACAAACCTTGGGTTACAGTGGATTCTGTTGCTCTGTGAGTTGAAGTCCTAATTGTTGCCTTTCTTTCGCATTTATAAAATTAATTTTATTGCTTTCAACCTTTACAATTAGAACGTTCTTTCAATTTCTTTTCATAATAATTTAACGATGGAAAGATGAAAATAATTCAAATTATGAATTTATTACTTTGTTCTAGGGTAATTTTCTGCAGCATTGGTGTTCTAACAGCACTGAGTACATTATACGAAATGATATGCATTTTTTTGTTAAAACGATGTAAGTATTAGTACGATTTTAAGATGTATTTTAGAATTTCGACTTTCTTATTTGAAAAATAATAATCTTTTAGCATCTAATACTTGCTTTCGAATGTTCTCCGTATATTCAAACACGAAAAGCTTACTCCGCGGTAATCTAACTGAAGGCAATATAAAATGCCTTGAAGGTATAAAAACTGTTGCAATGATTTGGACTGTCATTGGTCACTCTATAAATTCGGTATCCTATCTTCAGAACCCGACATATTATTTTGGTGTAAGTATTATTGATATAATTATCTACAGGTCTTGTATTCGACTCCCGCTACTTACCAATGTGATTTTCGAATTTCAAATGTACATAATTAACCCGACGTTCTTACGATGAAGGAAAGCCTGGACATATCGGCAAAGAAATTCAAACGTGTGAAGTCAACCAACCTACACTGGGCCAGTGTGGTTGACTAAGTACTAGTCACCCCTAAGGGTAGGCTCCGATCCCCACAGTGGGGACATGTAGCTAGTGAAGCCGATGATGCTAATATACAGTTTATATATGATATATGACAACAAAAAGTTACCATTTTGTCTCACAATTTTGAAATTTCATTAGCGATATTATAAATTAAGTATTACAGTGGACTTTGTCGGCGGATTCAGCGCTGTTGTCATCGGTGCCCATAAATGCAGATACGTTCTTTATGATGGGAGGTCTGTTATTGGTGTACAATTGCGCCAAAAAAATGGATGGAAGTAAGTAAGCAAGTATACTAAATAATACATTTAATACAAAATCAAATCCATCAAATTCACGGCATCTTTGATTTTCATTTGATTTGATAATTATTTAATCTTATCTTTAATGCGCAGTAAATAAAGGTTTAAAATTTTTGGAATCTGATTACAAAATATATCGTAACAAAGGTTGTTATTTCAGCTATGCTTATAAAGAATTTGCATCTATTCTACTTGACTAGACATCTGCGGATGTTGCCCTTGCTCGCTATCTCGATACTACTCGATGCGTCGGTGTTTCATAAACTGGCAGATAGTCCATTGTACATATCTTCGGCGACTGCCGTCAATGCAATAAGATGCAGGGCCTATTGGTGGTCGACACTAATCAATCTGCAAAACTACGTTAATCCGAAAGAAATGGTAAGTCAAAATCACTCGAGATTTCTAAGTGCAAATTTTTAATGTATTACTGAAGACCGATATCACTTAGCCAGTTACGTCAATTGTAATAAAGATCTGATAGTAAATCTTCCCTGCTTCACTCTGACTACGATAATTCTTCTTCTTAAAGATGTAAATGCTGATAACTTAATTAATAATTGAAACTAAAAGATTTGTTACACAGACAATGCAAAGAGTCCCCTAGAGACCTCCCAGCGAACCATTCGGTCTTCTGAGTACTGTTTAGTTATTGAGCGGCATGTTCTTTTTAACATTTTAGTGTGTCCCACACTCCTGGTATGTCGCAGTGGACATTCAGTTGCACATCCTATCCCCTGTTGTTTTATACTGGGTGCTCAGTGGTAACCGACAGACCGCCTGGTCAGCTTTGATGATCGCCTTCGCTGTTGGGCTGGCAATCTCTGCCATCTATAACTTCATTATGCTGTTGCCTGCTCACACAATTATACCTGCGTTTGTATTCCATACTTAAATTATATCTAGTCTAACTACTTTGTAGATAATTTTTATATCTAAAGAAAAAATAGCAAGTAGTAGTTGCGTAAAATTGTGGTACTTGGTGATGAGAAATCGATTTTATTTAGGCACTGCTGTAGGAATCGCGCATATACTGTTGTAGCTCTCTGACTATAAAGATTCATATTGAATTACAGACGCAACAGTGAACTGTTGGACTATTTCGAGCTGTACTATTTTCACATAATATCAAGAATCACTTCGTTCCTTGTTGGCATGGTGTTCGGCTATATCTTGCATATTTGGCGTGGTAAAAAAGTCGTAATATATAAAGTGAGTAAAGTTTTAAATCATCTATGACACAATCTATTATAAGTGGACAATTACAATTAAATAAATGATATTTGACAAAAACCAGCCAAACTTCAAATTCTCCAGTCAATTACTGAATATTATTATCGTTCATATTTTATCATAAGCAGTACTAGAATACTCCAGCAGCTCTCGAAAACTACTTTTGATGGTAAAATATTTTCATTTCCATAGAGGACAGTACTAACTTTATGGGCGACAAGTTTCGGCATAATGCTGGGAACGGTGTACATACTGTACCGGGTGAAGCAACAGACTTGGAACCACGTATACGTGGACGCGACGATAAACACGCTCATGAGGCCTCTTTGGTCTGCCGCTGTTGGATGGCTCGTCCTTGCCTGTGCTCATGGATACGGTGGTATGCATTTGTTCTTACGTCACTGATACAAAGACTTAAGGTCTTTGTATCAGTGACGTAAGAGAAACCCTTTGCTATGCTTTGGGATATTTGAAAATTTGCTTTGAGTTGTGTCGTGAAAAAAGTTTGTTCTTTTTTAACATGCATCGTTTTAATGGTACAGTATACGACAAGACTGTGTACCATTAATACCTGAACTAGACTACTAAAATGTTTTCTTTCTATAAAACAGGTCCGATTGACTGGTTCTTGTCTCTACCAATGTGGCAACTGCCAGGTCGTATGTGCTATGGCCTTTACTTATTCCACTACCCCATAATATTTGTTGTCAATGACGTCTCCGTGTCACCGCAGTACTTCACATTTGGGAGAATTGTGAGTATATTGTACCGCTTACATTAAAGATCATAGTAGTATCAAGTAGGAGTCTAATTTTAAAATGTAAGAGTTTGTTTCTGTTCTTAATAATTCCTAGTCACTAGTCCTACCGCGACTGCTATCTACAGCCGCGTCGGAGTAGCCTCTAAGTTAAAATCATCATGAAAATAGACAAGCACTAGATTATTCTTTACTATAACTAACGTTTTTATTTCAGTTGTTTCAGTCCATTGCGTCTATGGTATTGACTTTTACATCGTCTTTTATCTTTACTGTACTCATAGATGAACCATTTAGGACTCTGTTCAAGATAATTTTAGACAAAGGTGAGATAAAATGCTGCTGTCAATTGTTTTTAAGAGGTAAAACAAATTGAAAGGTTAATTTTAATCTGTGTATTTGTTCATTTCAAGGTCAGAGAAAACGAAGAAAAAAACACATAGAAGAGTTAGAACTTTTGAAGCATACAGAGTAAAATGAACTCCACTATTGTGTGTAAAAATATTCATATATTTAGTTTCGCCGGTACGTATTACAGTTATAAAAATATAAGTAAATATATGGTCATTATTTTACACACTGAGTTTTATTTTGACAATATAAATCAAACCGTAAGCTGAACTTTACAATTGATAGAGTGTCGGTTTTCTGTTTGAATATCGTGACAGATAACATTAATGACGATTATGCGCATATTTAAGGAAGAGTGCTTTTCATGTCCGGTCTATTATCGCGTAGTTTTCATTGTTCAGGTCCTATATTGCAATTTTTATTCAAGACTAGCTTTTGTGTGCAACTCCGTCCGCGTGCAATTTAAATAATAAAAGTATGTAGCCTAGTTGTTCTTCCATCTTCAACATCTATGCCAAATTTCATCGAGATTCTACCACGACCACACAGAAAACAGGCGTGAAGTGGAAGCAATTCCGCGTTTCGTCTGATGAGTGTGATGCCTGAGGCCTAATTTTAGTCCCTTTCCTTTTCCACCCTTTTCTTCAGAGGGAAGGATGGGAAAGAAAAGTGGATTTGACGGTGGAGGAGACCCTTGGGAAGAGGAAATGTCCATTTTATATGCGTCTCTTCCTCCGCCAATTAAGGGTAGGCAGCGTATCTGCAATTGCGGATGTTTATGGGCAGCGGTTGCTTTTCATTTCGGTGGATTCAGGTGACCGCTTGCTCGTTTGCCACCTTATATTATAAAAAAAAATCCGTCCAGCAGTTTATCCTACAAACTATCAAATATTCATCCATTCATTTAAAGTTTAGCTTTTATAGTATTAGTAAGATATTAATGTCTTTGTCTTCAAATACATTTAATACCTGGCTATTAATATCAGAAGCGTTATTAGGCCTCGTCAAGGCTTCGATGTCGGACCATTTATTACTTTAAGATCCAGTTTTACGAGCCGTCAAAGACGATATAAATTTTAATGCTTTTAAATTGCCAGAAAATTTCAGAAATCTCCCATAATTTATATAATTTTATCACTACCATTTTTTTTAAATCTCGTATTATTTAATTTAAGGATTCACTACATATTTTTTTAACAAACATTTTAAGAACCTATCTTGCGTAATAGACAACTCGCTGTTCCCATCTCTTCCTCTTAAGAAGAGTATGGAAAGGGACTAAAATTAAGCTAAAATCATGATACAGAAAAAGCTTTATAAATGTTATACTATTGAAAACATAACATGGTACCTTTGAAAAATTGAAACGGCCCATATTTTAACGATTATCGAAGTATCACACGCGCCTCGCTGCCCGATGACTGACAGTTCTGGAGCGCAACATTGATCCCAGATCGTAGCTCAATGTGAAGTTATGTCCTGACCAACTTTATAGAGAAATTCGACGTGGATTACCAAACTGACGAAGACAGATCTGGGAATAATATTGTTGATTCAGATCGATGAAGTGTACCTCAATTACTATTCAGATATACGCCTTGTTTTTCTTAGTTGATATTTTAAAGATATAAAAGTCATATCTAAAACATTTGTCCTAATAAACCATTATCAATCCTAAGTTAATCAATGGAAAGTAATGGAAACCTTAAAAGATTTCGAAATGAGTACAGTCGCCTACTAAATCTGTCCTTTTAAGTATCTACCTACTGTTTTCACAAGAAAGTTCTAAGAGAGGGCGCACACATAACTAAAGTATCGCACAATTGTTGTGCGATTGTCAATTGTCGATTTTTTTGCCAATTCAACTTTAGTTGCAAAACTACAAATCAACTTCCATGTACGTTCATAGGAATTGATGCGAGACTAAAGAGTTGTTTGATAGTTTAATCAAAGGTGCACTTTAAACATACTATAGGTGGTTATCTGTCGTGTATTGTAACTTAACTTCCAACTCTTAAATGATATTGTTCCAAGCAGTCGCTGTCAAACATATGAACATGTGGGTAGTCACAAAAATAAAATTTAAAATCTAGAGAGTGCAGTTTTAAATGGTTTTATAATTCATATTCAATTGATAAATTTATTTTCACGTCCATATATCTTATCTAATTCGCATGTAATCGATTTGATAAATGCGTATTGTTACTACGTTGTTGATAATCTGGATGTGATATAAGAGGATTATTACACAATTTCTTATTATAGCAAAACGATATCGACAAATTCTTGACATTATCCAGATAAAGATTTTTGGCACAAAAATTATAGTCACGTGGTAAGTTTGTGTGGCAGTACCCTTATGTAACTGGTACCCAAAGACTAACGTATGCAACCATTTTTAATTTTAGTCCGTTTCCCGTCCCACCATTTTCTTACACGGAAAGGATGGGAATGAAAAGGATTTGACGGTGACGAAGACGCATAGTCAGGGGAAATATCCTCTTTGTATGCCTCTCCTTCTACGTTGATTAAAGGTTGGCAACGCATTTACAATTGCGGATGTATATGGGCAACGATCGCTTCGCTTTCTCGGCGAAATCAGGTGGCCGCTCGCTCGTTTGCCATCACATGATATAAAAGAAATCATTAGTTATAGAGAGGATTTATAACTTTAAATGGTTTACGAAAAAGGAAACAGTGCTGTTGAAATGAAATTTTTATGTAAGAATTTTAGCGTCACGTTAAAATTAATTAGTTAAGATAATAGTTACATCAATCTTTTATCGATTTCTTTGCAATAATAATATATACGATATAGTTAATCATGTTATTGACATATCCTGTGATAAGATTTTGCATTTTCACAATTAGAATTTCGTTCAAATATTTCATCACTTTAAAATTTTATTATTTTTCTTTGACTTCGAAATTCTGTATTTTAAATTATTTAATAATAAGTTATTATAGAAACCGAGAATAACACTTTAAATCCCCAATTACTTTTGCATATGCCCTTACTTAAATGCAAAAGCATATTTTAAAACAATAAAGTCTTTTTAACTTTTCTCTCAACTAGAGCAAAGTGTACGGAACCCCTTGTGATATGCAATTAAAATAAAAATCTCGAATTAATACTAAAAAGATAAGATAACCTAAAATATTTCCATTTCTTAATTACAGCACGGCTCTACACTCTTGTTTGTTTTTGAAGATGTAACAATTCCTTTACATTTCTAAAAAAAAAAAACAATGCATCTTATTACTATTGTGCAATTAATTTTAGTTTTCGTCCAAATCAATGGACATCTTCATTTAGATTGGGAGGTACGAAATCCGGCGCTAAATCAAAGTTTATACGAAGACGTGTTGGATTCTGTAGAATGTCAGAAACAAATTGGTCTGTTGCAGAATAATACATTCCTTCTAAGTTTATGTGAGTGTAATTCTTTTCATTTGCATTCTTTAAATATGAGACTCGTTAGTGCGTGAGTGTCTTACTATCAAGAATGCCGGCGACTAACAGGACAGTTTAAGGTGAATTCTACTCCTTGGACATCTGAATAATGCATGTGCTAATGTAATATGTACTTTATCTTCCGACAGTAAGATTGCTTTTTAGTATGCTCAAAATTTTAAATGTTATGTCAATTACTACTATCATGTCAATTACAATACAAATCAGATGTAAATAAAAGAAATTTTGAATTTCTATAAAAGTGAGTTATATCGCGGGTATTGTTATCAGTTTTAGATGCAGGAATAAGGATACCAAGAGGCTTACTGGCTGGTAATACTATAGATTTAGGCAATTACCATCAGTGTTTAGAAATCAATCAAACGGTTCAAAATACTGATATCGAAGGAAAGTATTGCATGATTAGAGTTCCTTTGAATCAAGAATTACCATTGCAAGCGATTTCTTCAAGTTCACACTTCGATCCATTTTCTTTGCATTTAGATGAAAATATAATAACGAAGATAAAAGATTATGAATTATCAAGAGCAGGCTTAAAGGCTTTATTCGGTGCAGATCTCAATGAAATCAGGTAACTAAACCTTGTATTTTTTTTTCAATCATAGTTGTATATGCATTTCCTTGGTGCCTTACGTCTAAAATTTCTATAGACTATTAAGGTAATATAACCAAGTGTCCTGTAAATATTTCCATGAATAGTTTTAAACTACAAAACAGAATAGTAACAATTAATAAGAATGAATGTGATTTTGCTGAAAGAAATTGTCTAGGCGTTTCATTGCTAGATTTTAAATATATCGAAGCGCGTTTCCTTGAACAAGTACATCTTTTTAAAATATCAGTGTTAACGCAATATTTATTGTACGATAAAAAACGGTCAAATGAATTAACCTTTCAGATCGGGACCTGGTAATCCTCTTGAGTTTTCCGTTCTTCGATTAGCTGTCTGTATTCCAAAGCCTTGCACAACTGAAGAAGCTTTATCTGGGCTTTTGTTCAACATAACTTCCTTAGGATTTAAGTATGAAGATGACTTCTGTAGACTGCCAGATGACAAGCCATGGGTACCTGCGGATTTCACAGCTTTGTGAGTAACAAGAGGCGTTACAGTAAAATATTTAATTAAATAAATATTGTGTATCTAAAAATCTGAGTGACAATTTGAAAAGTAAGTATTCGAATTTGGTTAACAAAAACCTCTTTACTATTGTTTACTTTCAGGGGGATATTTTCTTTGATCGGGCTTCTGAGCTTTATGAGTACCTACTATGAATTAAACCATATTTTCGCCCGAAACAGAGGTATGTAAATATATTAACTCTGTAATAAATTATTGTTTTCTACATTTCTTCCTTTACACTCAATTTTGTCGTTTTCATGTTATATTGTAGATTTACGAAACCATTAGGTTTATTAAAAACCGTTATTTTGAGTACCTATTTATCTAAACCAGAAACATATAAGTGTTTCATTTTTTTGTTACAGATTCAAAATCGGCAAATAAAATCTTCTGCATGTTTTCCGTGTACAGTAATACGAGACGCCTTTTAACTTTTACGTCCTCATCCGGTGCATTAGAATGTATAGACGGTGTCAGAGCTTTGGCTATGTTATGGGTACTTTTGGGACACAGTTTTTCATCACAACCATTCACTTATAACGCTATTGAGTCATTTCAGGTAAGGAAATTTTTTCATCATCACATGCTATGAGATTTGTTCTTTTTGAGAAAAAAAATGTGTGTTTTAAGAGCGTCAAGTTTCAAGACAATTGAGGTTTTATAGATAAGGATCTATGGAAGGCCATAGTTACGTATTTTAAAACAGTCGTATTTTTTGTGTAATTTGTAATTAGTGTAATATTTCAGTGGATACTTTCCTACGAGGGTTTATGGATAACAGCCGGTCATATCACGGTTGACACTTTTTTTATGCTGAGCGGTTTACTTGTAGTATACACAACTGCTGGGAAGTTAACGTCAGGTAACATAATTACACCATATTGCAAAGTTATTGGATCAAATAATTTTATTTAGTAATTTAATTACTGTTTACAAAAAAAAACGTTTAAGTTACTTTTGAAATATTTTTTGATAACAACGTATATTTTTTAACTTACAGTTGGACTACTCAAAAACATCCACAAGTTTTATTTAAATCGCCTTCTACGTATGTTTCCTATTTTGGCTACGACCGCTTTGCTAGAAGCTTCTGTCTTCAACCGGATCTCCGATGGCCCAGTCTGGAATACTATTGTGTCACAAACGCATAGGTGTAGGACTTTCTGGTGGTCGACTTTGTTGCACGTGCAGAATTATGTTAACTCTGAGAATGTTGTGAGTAAAAAATGCTAATAGTCATAACACGACAGTCATGAAGGCCAATGCTAGCTTTGTTGTATTTTCAATTAAATGTAGTGGCTTGGCCTATGTATGTAATTAATTGACTTCAAGTTTCTAACACTGACACTAAGTTGGTAAGATTTCCGCTACTATAGAAATTAAATAGCATTGTTAGCACGAAATAATTAATGAACTTGTACTGGAGTAACATCTCAACAACTGGAATAAAGGTTCGATACAAAGACGCTATCCGCATTGTGAAGAAATTCTCCTTTTTCTACATTGGAAACTAATTATTTGAGTAATAGGAATTCGCAAACAATGTTTTTAATTAAAAGATGACCCAATAAAATTACTTTTCAGTGTATTGGCGCGACATGGTACCTCGCTATCGACGTCCAACTTCACTTACTCTCACCAATAATACTGGTGTGGGTGTTGAGTGGTAACAAAAGGATTGCTTGGTCAGCAGTTATAGCCGGTGTTGTTCTGTCACTCACAGCAGCAACTGTTTATAATTTTATTAAGGAATTCCCAACAGGAATGATTACAGCTGAGTTAGTTATTATAATTTACTAGATTTAGCTCGCGACGCCTTCCACGTTGCATTAAAAGACAAGTAGCCTACATATATGTTCTTCCAGATTATCCTATATATCTATAACAAATTTCATCTAGATACGTTGAGCAATTTATGCAACAAACTGTAGCAATGTTTCTCTAAAAAATACATTTGTGAAATTAGTAGGACCTAAAATATAATAGTAATTTATTAAATCGATCTTAAGTCTCTACATGGACACAAACAAACAGCAATTGAGTTATTTGATCTTCCTGAGGAGTTGGGAAGAAAAGGGAAGGAAGATTATGTTATGATTTATTTCTGCTTGTAGGAGAGGTGATGAAATGATGTACTACATGGTATATTATTACATGAACACATTAACCAGAGCACCCCCTTTCCTTGTCGGCATGGTGTTTGGTTATTTACTACATACATGCAGGGGAAAACCAGTCTTTATATCTACAGTAAGTTCTGTAGCACTTTTTAATTGTAGCTGAAGCTAATTATTTCATCAATTCTGTCAATAAACATCACGTCGAAAATGATAGTTACAAAGTAAAGAGAAAGGGACTTAAATTAGGCCTCCGGCACCACACTCATCAGACGAAACACGGCATTGGTTCCATTTCACGCCTGTCTTCTGTGTGGTCGTGGTATCACACCGGGCGTGCCGGCCAATTCGTGCTAAGATGTTAAAGCGGGAACTACCACTGTTAAAAACTTTGTTTTAGATTTTGAATCTCACATTATGGGCGTTATCATTATCGCTCCTCTTGTTAGTATGTTACTGCACCTACCCGACAATGCAGCCAGGCTGGGATAACCAGACTGTGGACAGTTTGATCAACTCTTTCATGAGACCAGCGTGGGCTTTAGGATTAGGCTGGGTTATATTCGCTTGTGTTCATGGATATGGTGGTAAGAGTACTTTAAAAACTTATTTAAGCTATGACTAAGTATGATTTCTAAATCAATAAAACTCAATAATAGATCATTTACATAAAAGGAACCGAAAGGACTTAGAACGGTTTCAACGCCTGTCAACTGTTGGGAATATACCCTAATATTCATTTTTTCCAGTATCATAAAACATAAGCATTCTATGATGTTTTCTCTTCAATTCATTCTAGTAGGACAAAATAATTTCGACCGACAAACTCGGTTACCAAATAACAATTTATTTTACATCAATGGTTGTGAAACACTGTTCCATACGTTCAACAGGTCCGATAAACTGGCTTTTATCTTTAAAGTTATGGAAGTTACCCGCTCGACTGTCATACGCTATGTACATAATGCACTTTTCTCTGATGGTCATCTTCAATTCTAGTAATACAGCGCCGATATACTTTACCGTTCCTTACATTGTAAGTATTTCGTTGATAAATGTTTTTTTTTTTGTAATATTTGTCAACTTATTTTACTATTGTTTTAAACCTCTATTTATATTTCTTATTTCAGTTATTCCTCTTCTGTGGTTTCTTCGTCATAACATTTGTAGTGGCCATAACCGTAACTGTGCTAATTGACATGCCGTTTTCTATACTATTCAAACTTTTATTAGATAAAGGTAAAGTTATTATTATTGGACTATCTATTTTAGTTGTAACTATTATTACAAATGTAATTGCTTTACAGGAAAAAAATCAACAAAATCAGGTGACAGGAATTTATCCAAAAGTAGTACTATGTTGCAAACAATGAAACAGGATGTCTTAAATAATGGTGTACAGAAATTTGATTAAAAGGTAGAAATTTCAATGCGAAATAATTAATTGTACCTTGAAAGAATTTAGATATCCGATGATGTGAAAGAATAATCTAAACTATTTATGACCGGTTTCCCAGTTACATTTGACAATTCATAAGTATTTTTGGTTGGATAACTTCATGAAATGCGTTTTCGAACCACGTAACTCGAGTTTAACTCATTTGAAACTTAGGTCAACCTAACACTAATTGGTAATTGCTATGATATATTAAATGGAATCTTCTCCAACCCAGCATTAAAGAAAAATATATTTTCAATTATCTATTTTATGTTACTGCGAATTCTTGAAGTGATAATTTGTTCGCAATTGAGAAAGGACATGATTGAAATTTCATTTGCAACAACTTGTTTGCGCTCATTGGAACAGGAAGTTGACTACATGAATATAACTGAAAATCAGAACAAGAGTGTAGTTATAGAGTGCATCGAATAAAATTCAAGTGGAATAAAAACCGAACTTGGTCCTCAAAAAACATGGTCACGTTTCAGTCGGATTATAAAAATGTTATCTCATTGGAATTACATCAAGATTAAATTTCTCTTTTTTTTTAAACTTTATTAAATGATTGACATTTATAACTTTATCTGATTATCTTTACTTATTATGTTGATTAAATTAAATAAGTTGTGATTGTGTATGATAATACCAGTTTTAGTTTATTTGTTTTTCTTTGGATTATCTAAGTAATTAATCAAAGTTGATTTAATCAGTTGTTGTGGTCAAGTGAGTTCAATTAAAATCGGTATGAAATGATTATGATTTTTATTTACTTATCCACGGACGAATCCTTTGAGAGAGAAAATGGGGTAGTTCTACTACATAAACATTAAAGTAACACTAAAAGTGATATCGTTAGAATAAAGATCTCTGTTGATAGGAATTAAAAAAAAAAACAATAATCTTACTAATATTATAAATGCAAAAGTTTAGATGGATGGATGGATGTTTGTTAAAGTTTTAGCTTAAGACAACATAGGCTACTTACTTTATTTTTATAGTTCCACGCGGAAGGATTGGCGGGCAAAAGCTAATAAAACATTCAAAGAAAATTAATAAACCAATAAAAACACAGGTTATGGAACAAACATTTTGAATTGCAGTAATTGTATAACTGGAAACAGTTTGAATTTTAAAGTCCACAAATACAAACTCGAGAGCAAAGCTTACTGCAAACATAAGTTTAGTTTCAAACAATGAATCTACCATTTCATTACACTGTGTTAAGTGTGTTGCAGCAATGTGAATATTAAAAAGGCATAGTTTGTGCTATGTTTGTATTAAACAATTCAATGATTTGTCGATTTTTGCTATGATTTTGTTGTAAGAGAGGATTTGAACTGCTATGTTTCTCTGAACGTTTTCGAGCAGCTTCTATTACTAATTAGTATTGATCGTTTAGTGTCTTTACATTGTTCTTAAGATTGATTGTACGAAATGTAACAATCTTAACATTTATTTACAACCGAATGATGCTTTTTATTTTTTCTACATGGTATTGTTTCTATTAATTAAATCTACTAGTCATCTATTAGTTTTGTTACTTTTGTGATGATGCATTTATACAGGTAGCCAGATTGATTGGGAAAACTAGACTTCGGACAGTTTAATCAGCTAGTTCGCAAGAGTCATAGCCTCTAGGCTTACGTTCCACTAGTCACTCGTCTCTACGTTCATAGTAATAATTGAAATTCAAATATTAATATTTATGCACATTAATAATTCCTTTTCTCTATATGAAAATTAACAATTATGGTTACTATTCTTATTTAAGGACTGTGTCCTTATCGATGGAGCTAACTCCAGTTCTCGTTCCTTTGTGGTATTCTTTTGACTTCCTCACACGACGCCGACAGAGACTCTTTTTCTTGTTGCATGAATGTATCTAGGTCTTCCTCTGTTTGAATCAAAATATAGATAACAAATAACATGAATTAACGGACAATAATATGAACAAAAATAAGTTCCAAAATCTGACGATGAAACCAGTTTCGGAGAGCATCAGAACAATTTAGCTTCCCAGAATTCATGTACCGAGTAGCTGTTCTAACACGATCATCACATTTATGCCATAGATTATTTTAATTGCGGAAAAAATTTCATCGTTCCCCCAATTTGTCGTCGTCATTGTTTAAGAGGTCTTTTGTCTTCCTTAAAACTTTCTTAATGTCCTCCCATTTATAACATTAAGACTAATTTTTAGGGACTACAAACCCTCTATTATACGCTTTGATCTTGAAATGTAATATTCCTTAACTACGATAATTTACTAAAAAGTTTAGCCAAAGACCAATTACATGATTTATCAAAGGAAATCTTAAAAAACAAAATAAGGGAAATGTAGTCCTAAACTTTAGAAAACGTATCTATCAACCGTCATATCTGAATGCCCTTTCATGCATACTTTCTTCGGTCTTCCTTTTAACATATAATAACATATAAAAATAATGAAATTGAAAAAACTTCGAAAATGTCAATCAAACAATGGACTCTCATTTATAATAAGCAGATAAACTTTCTTTACAATCGTGTTTAATATTTTGCATTCATAAAAAAGCATAAACCCTCTTTATAATTGTATTAAACAAGGCTCATGATCTTCGAAACAATTCACTCCATCTTAACGGACGTCGTATTTAATTACATTGACTTTATGACCGTGACAGCTTGTTAATTAGAATATCTCAGACATCTGTGACTACTGTATTACCTTTTATAATTTAATAAACAATTAATTCACAACACTCATGTTAACGCATACATGTCATTAGTGATGTGCATTAGTCGATTATTAGTATTTGAAACCTAAATGTTACTCACATTAGTAAGAACTTTTTTTTTTTAAGTTTCATAAATGAGAACGTTTGGATGGGTATTTGTAAGAGTTTGTAGACTAAACTGCTGAACAAATCTCGATGAAATTTAATATCAATGTAGAGGATAGTCTAGAAGAACACAGGCTACTTACTTTTTTTATATCGAATCAGACGGAATCACAATCGTAAGCTAGTAACCAAATAACTGTTAGTAAGATATTCATTTGTTTTTGATTAATTAGGTATTATTATCTTTATTCTGAAAATCGAAAATGTTTGATTAATCGAGTTACATTTTCACTTAATTATTAAAATAAACATTATGAGTATGTTGATTCTTAGTTTGAGTGGTACATTTTCTTATCAATTTAAAGCTCTAAGATAGCTTGAAATGCGCGTTGCGCAATTGAATTTTCCACTGGGCTTGATTTAATGAACACTACACATGTTCAACTCATACAATTGTTAAGCACTCGTCATTGTGGTTCGTTGCACAATTGCGATATTAATTGGATTTGTGTATATGTATCAAACAAATAAAAAAAAACTATTCAACTGCCAGTTGAAATAGAAAAGCATTAGAGGCCATAACTTCGTAAAAAAAGTTCATATTTTTTACTTGCTATCAATTATTACTATCAGAAATAATATTTTATTGGATTTTAAGGAATCATTGTTTTTGTGAAATAGCTCCTTTCTGTACCCTCATCTTTCCATCTTAAGTAACACAACATCCTTTGCATTCGTCAATGGGCAGTGGTCACTTTGCTATTTCAGCTAAATCATGTAACTGGTTGCCTTGTTCTATTCCGTTTCGTGCTTAGTCCGTTCCAGCAGCTCAGTGTTCTTGGAATTAAGGATTATTTGCCTAATTGCCCCAAGGAATTAACGCCTTGTCATGTAGATATTCGCTTAGGACTTCCAGTGTATTGGCAGCATAATACATAGTGAATGCGGTTTAAAATCGCAGCTACGTACTCCTTTCATTAGGTTAAAGTTTGTAGCTGCTATGCTGAAGTTTTATGGTTCGAAAGATAAACAAGTGCTCAACTTTGTTTCACGGGTCGTTAGTTGAAATGTCTTTTAAAGTTGTGGTTCAAGTTATAAAAGATTTATTATATTGTGCTTTTAGTTTTTTGACTAATTAACTTTTTGACCTGTTTACTTATTTGTAGTATTGTCAAACGATCTTTTATTAATTAACTATTTTCGATGGAGCAATTTCTAGTCTTCCCTCTCTTATGGCATCCTCTTGAATTCGGTATACCACACGACAGTCACTTTCCCTTTTATCTGTTGCATATATGTTATTTCTCAATTTTTCTCCTTTCAATTATGGATATAAGATGTCGTAAAGTATTAGCTACCTTTTTAACTCCTCCTCCTTCTTAAACATTACAACCCAAGACTGTATTTTATATTTCAATATTCATATTTCCCTTTATTCTATATTGTAATTTACTTGAATTTATTACTCTTTACCTAATACTCGTAGAATCCATTTCTATAGAATTGTATCAATCAAAGAATTCTGGAATATCTAATAAGGTGATAATCCGCTTTGAGTTTCTAACTTGTCCATCATCCGAGGACTTCGAAGCTTTGTTTAATACGCGAAATTAGTTTCACTCCCGCCTTTGAATCGTTTCCTCTTTGTTTACCGGCTGATGTTCTAAATAGCAAAATGAACAAAAAGTTACGGATTCCCTTTGAGATTTTCCATATCAAGAGATTTACGTGTTGCTAAGTAATGTATTCAACTTTGATTATTAATAACGTAATACGAAGTCCTAATTTTATTAAGTGTAATATTTTCTATTCAATATTTGCCCTAAATTAACATTATTATAACGAGAAATATCGAAGGTATTTGTTTTTAATATTTATAAAAGTGATTGAAGTATTTCAACAAAAATATATTTTAAGAATTGGTTTTGTCCGTAAAAGTAAACTCTCTTGAGGTGAATTGAATTATTGTATTTTTAAAATAAACTTTGCCAAATGGTTCCTTTAGAAATTTCTCTTAGCTTCGAAAGTTATTACTTCTTTTAGTAAACAGTCGGATTTCTTTTCGATAAAATGGTTTGATTTCTTACAATAAGTTATATAAAGTATTTTCAATTGTTTATTATTTATATGTATTTTCATTTAACTATTAATGATGCATGATCAAATGCGAAGATGATCTGTCATATAGTGAATTCGAATCTTCCTTTATTGTCCATAGAAATACAGATGGCAATTTTTTTTATCCAAGTATTTCGCCTGTGGAAACTGACATGATATTACAGAAAATGACGGCAGTAATATTGTTTATGGCATTATTTCGAAGTATTCTATTTATTTTATCTAAATACAGTACATTTAAGGTAAGATGTATGATTTTGAAAACGATGGTAATGCTTTCACATACAGCTTTGTACTTGTTAAAATGTTAGCAGGCTTTTATCGCTACAAAGAGGAGTATAGATTTAAACCCCTTGCGGTCAGAATCAGATTATAAAGTCAAGTGGATCGGTTCGTTTGATATCCATACACTGGCTTTGAGTCTTACCTTTCAAATGCAGTTTACGTGAGGTATTTTAATAAGAAGACGGAAAACATTCAAGATCGTATTTGTAAGCAAAATATGCAAGACAGTGGTAGGTAACTAAATTAATCCGGCATTACAGTTATCAGATTAAACGCGGGTTTCCTTTCACTTTGCGCTATCTTCTGTGAGGTCATGGTATTGCACCAGGAGAGGTGTCCAATTTGTACATAGATATGTTGCTGACGTTTTCCACTGTTATTACTTGACTACTTAATAGTACATTTATTTCACTTACACATAATATTTCTCTCGTTTCGTAGATGTTAAACATTTTGCTAACAAAGTAAAATAAAATTACAATTTAACGAAATGATACCGAAAAGAAAAACGTGTTTCAGTTTTCGTAAATGTTTTATGAAAGCCTGTTATTCACAAAGTTTAAACATTAAATGGAGAAAAGCGAAAACCGCCCGCGCCGATACAAACGGGGAAAAATGGCAAGAGCAAAGTTTGACCAGACCTTTGTTATTAATATCGCTTCTTTTTAAGAACGAAACAAAAGCTATGGCAATAAAGTAAGAAAAATAAATGTTTCATCATCTCCTCTACATGACTCTATCATATCAGTCATCACTCCCTTCTTTATCATGTTACCTTTCACGCAATCCATCCATCTTTTTCCAGGTCTACCTTAACTGCTATACCTAAACACTCTTAACTAACATTCTCCTTGTTACGTACGATTCATCCCTCTTGATAACACTCCACAAAGAAAAGTAAACGTTTATTTACATTAATTTAAAGCAACATTTTCGGCTTATAAGCCAATTTGAACGACTCAAAAGCTATGAGACCTAATTATTTCCGTTTCAAGTATTCTTACACTCATAATTTGTTTCACACACCTGCTTCCGTTTGCTTAGATATAGTATCAAAGTGTCGCTGATAATAAACTGATAAATTTACAAGGAATTTTAATGAAAATACACCACATATGAAATCGATATCTCATTCAACTGATAACTCAATTGTTAGTGAAATTAAAATTGGTTGAGCCGACAATATGAGTCTCATCTGATACACGAATAGGCCTGTCATAAAGAAATACTGTGGAAAAAGGAATATAACACGAGATCAATACAGTTAACTTCATTTAAACACTGTCAAAGATTCCATAATGAAGTTGTTAACTATGGCAGTTTTCATTCTAACGTCAGTTTCCACTCCCAAAACAGTTGTTAGTATGCGAAAACTATCATTGTCACGATTATATTATACATGACTAAGCTAGAAGAAAACATACGTTTATAAACAAGCACGAAAGATTACAATCTTTACAATTATATTAAAAAATGTAAAAGGACCTATTCTCTTGAAAAAAACCTTGATTATTTTCAATTCATATAAAATTAGAATGTCTACGTTTCTGTAACTAAATGAGAACAGAGATTCTTTTACGATAAAGTTATAACGAACGTGTTGTCACTACCAATAACTCTGAAAATGAATATTTTAGTGCCTACATTTTACTTGAGACTTTACGTTGAAATTTCAGCCCCATAGGGATAAACAAATATAAACTTTGTCCCTTTCGCCGTTATAAGAGGTGTTTTAAAAAATTGATTTTGGTTTGCTACTGAACAATTCATGAGATTGATGAACTAGTTAGCTTTTGCCGCGACTTCATCTGCGTGTTTTTAAACCACAAAATTACTCTATGTTCTTCCAGGCTATCCTCTACATCTATGCCAAATTTCGTCGAGATCCATTCAGCAGTTTAGGCTACTAACTTTAGCAAGCATTCATCTACAAACATTCGCATTTGTAATATTATTAGCAAAATTTATTAATAAGAAATATTGCTATGTGTTATTCGAAGGAAACATGATACTGCCCCTGTTTGTTAGTAAACCTACATGATTCGATTGCTATCTAAACTTTTTGGTAACTCTTAATTTTGCAAGACATGCACACAAAATTTTAGTGCAAAAAAACTTAAATAAATACTCTTTTAGGCAGGCTTGCGTCCAACAGTGGATCTAACTGGCACCAACATGACACATGCTGTAACGACGCGCTTTCATAATGTACATGTTAGTCTCTATTCAAGAATGTTATCTCTATTTTATATTAATACAATCAGTATTATTGGCAATTGCGGAACTTCTAATCTGGTTTATTGCCTAGATTAGATTTATACTTCCTTTCCACAACTTTTAATAGGTATAATAAAATGAAATTTCAACTCTGTTACACGCACATATTGGATAAAGAATAGATATTTAAACTTAAGAAATAATGGGGACAAAATTACAATAACGTCATAAATATTTCAACATAACATTTTGATAACTCTTAAACTGTTTGGAACACTGATATGATGATAACAAATTGATAGATAGGTAATTAGGTAGTAATTATTTAACACCTGGTTGATATTACTGCAAAGTATTAAAATAATCACATTCTCACTAGATAAAAATTATAAGCAATAGGATTTGCAATCTATATAGATAAATAAAAAAATAAATGCATTTTTATAAATTATGCTTTAATTTGTACTCCATGAATATTTTATGTTAGATAAAATATACATCTAAACAACCACACATTTTTAAAATGACGTAAGATCTTTCTTTTTATAACAATATTCTTAAAATTAATATAACTAAATGTACACAGAAAACTCTATACTATTTAAACCTAAATATGATACAGAATTTAGTCTTTTCACACTAAAAAAACACTGCACAAAAAAATAATTACTCTTAATATCTCTATGACAAAACTTTATCTCCTTCAGGTACAAACGTAGGATTAGCAGCAACAGTCTTTCTATCCGGTGCCGATGATATAGTTTCTTTATCCAAATCCTTTTTATCTACAGTTTTCACAGCCTTGGAGCCTGTAACATGCCAATATTTCAAAATTAGACAACAAAATATCCTTCAAATAAGACACCTGTAATTCAAAAAGTATCTAAAGCTTTTCGTTTTTAAAATTTAATACCCAAAGATTTTTTTAGTTATCCGGTCCATTATCAGAAGTTATTAAAATATCTGTGTGATAAATTAATTTGGAAACTAGTTACCTGGACTTAGAAAAGTTTTGACGAGGATTCCGAATGGAGCGTCAATGATTACTGTAGCCAGGAATGCCAATATAAATGTAAGGAAGAAGAATCCGAAAAAGTTGAACATCTGCAAAAAAACAAAAATTTTTTATATTTCGATAAACAGAACAAGGTATTATCTTATCAGGTTTAATCGCTTTAATTGAAATACTTCTCTTCAAGGGAACTGCAATAACAATGTGCAAGCTATGTCTGTTGTCAACCAATAGGTTGCGAATTTTATTGCATTGTAGATTTTTCAAATGAACAAACTTGGGCTTGACAACACAAACTATAATATACTATTACTACTGGCATTACCACTACTACTGCTACAAAGATTACTAGCTTCCGAAGACTATTATTAGTTATAAATCGTATTCTCTTTCAACCTTGCTATCTTATCCATCAAATATAAATTGTTTAAAATTGGTTAGAAATTAAGGCGTAAGTTAAGTAACCAAAGCCTAGTTAAACTAAAACTAAGATGTAAACACTTACCGTACTTGATACTGTGAAATATACTGGAGCTAATCTAGAATTGTAATATGCCACCATAACTGAAAAGTGAATAATGTACATAGCGTACGACAAGCGAGCTGGCAGTTTCCATACATGTAGAGATAAGAACCAGTTAATTGGACCTGTAATAAAATGAAAAATATCGTCGTAAATACAAATCAAAAGGAAAGGAGAACTGTAAGAAAAGAGATATATGGAAGAGACTACAATTTTCAAATATGAGGTAAGTGACTCATGGAGCAACATTAAAAAAAAACATGTTTACAAAACCTAATAAAGTAATATGTACCTCCATATCCTTTAACACAGGCGAAAATGATCCAACCCAAGCCCACTCCCCACAAGGGCCTCACAAAGGAGTTGATAAAACTGTCAGCGGTCTGGTTGTCCCAATCCAACTGCATGTTGATATATAGGATGTAAAATATAGCACCGAACATAGATAGGCAGAAGAACCAAAACATCATTGCGATCACCTGAGGGGAAAACATTTTACAAACATCCTATAAAATAAGTTTTTAAACTAAACTATATGTAAAATTATATACAAAAAACTGAGGTCATAAACGACGACGACGAAAAAATTAACTGTCGGTTGAAAATTTAAAGGGTAATTTTAAAGAAGTTTGATAACGATTAAAGGATTTTAAAATATCTGAAAAGAACATGACAACAGCTAATGATAATAATACTGTTATTAATAAATATGATAATAACGATGCTGATAATAAAGGATTTTTTATAAATACCATTGTTGATGTCAGTTTCTTGTCTTTCCATGAAGATATTATATAGCCAAAAATCATTCCAACAAAAAATGGAGGTGCTCGCGTTAGTAGATTTATATAGTAATATGTAAAGTAATCATCACCTTCTCCAGGACGGCTGCAATATTATAATTTTAAATAGAGTTTTCACAAGTATGAAGTATATCAGTTCCCAAATCATACTAATATTATAATTGTGAAAGTTTAGCTGGATGAATGGATGGATGGATGGATGTCTGTAAGAGTTTGTAGCCTAAACGGATCTCGATGAAATTTAGTATAGATGTAGAGGATAGTCTGGAAGAACAAATAGGCGACTCATTTTCGTTTTTTTTTAATTCCACGCGGATGGAATCGCGGGCGAAAGCTAGTTCTTTATAAAAAGCCAACTTACTAAAACTCTGAATGAAAACTAATTTTATGAATATTGTGAATGCCAAAGTTTACATGAATGTTTGTTAGAGTTTCTAACCTAAACTGCTGAACGTATCTCAACGAAATGCGTCATCGATGTAGAGGATAGTCTAAAAGATTACATATGCTGCTCACATTTTTTTTTAACTCTACGCGGACCCAGTCTTGGACAAAATCTAGTATTTCATAAATTAGATTGCTAGCTACTCTATCCTAATTATTGCTAAAGCAATTTTTAAAAATAAATTGATGAATAATGAAAACCTTTTTTTAAATACTCGTATAGAAAAAAAATCTGGATATTTTGAACGATTTTTTTTATTAAAATATGAAATGTGCGTGTTACGTTATTGTGAGTTTCTATAACAATTTCGACCATCTCGTGGCCAGATCATATGCTCCCCCACAGAGCCGAGCCTAGCCTAAATCTATGCCATTAAAATTCCTCGAGGAATTCCTTTATCCTATTATAATTAAATTCTCAACGCTACATCACTTATCAAATTGCTTTATCGATAGGTAGTTACAATTTGTTAATATAATACAAACAAATCTTACACTTAAAGGATTATGATATGAATCGGCTTTTGAACACTACCTAAAGTCCAGTAGCTCGTATAAGCATATTTGAACTTGTTTTGATAGATATCTAAATCGACACCGTTTATCTATTTGCATATGATTTTTTTCCACTATGTCGTAATTGTAACAAGCTTATTTATAAGTACGTTCTACATGGTAATGACACTAATAATATAAATGAGAAAGTTTAGGTGGATAGATGTTTGTTAGAGTTTGTTGCCTAAACTGGTCAACTGATATCAATGAAATTTGGTATAGATGTAGATGATAGTCTTAGAGTACACATTGCCAGCTTGCTTTTATTTTCAATTCCACGCAAACCGAGTCCCGGATGAAACTAGTCTTACAAATGTAAATATCTGATTAAAATGATATTACTTACTTAGGAGATATTATTCCAGATTGGAACTCGTTCATGAAGATGTAAAGAGTAGCGGAAATGAGGGATGCCATTAAACCAGAGGTCAACGCCGCCCACGCGGCTGTCTTTCTTGAACTCAAGACCCAATAAAGAATTATCGGCGATATAATATGTAACTGAATGTCAAGAGATAGATACCAAGATACTCCAACGCACTGAAACAAATCAAGCTAATGTTATGAATGCGATCTTTAGTTGGATGTTTATTATTTCATGATCTCTGAACAGGCTTAATGATTCTCGATAGACTAATAACTAACTTCGAAATCACTTGAAATATTTTATGATATGATGATGCCTAAAATCATTAATCACTCGATTGCAGTACTCTGCTGACTCGTTTGCTTGTATTCATAAAACAAATGAATTCCCTCACTAGGGCCATTCTCGATCCCATTTACGCAGGTTCCTGTTCTTCTTTTGTTTTTTAATAAAATGGATAACTTACAAGATTAATAGGATTCACAAAGTTCTGTATGTGCAGTAGAGTCGACCACCAGTATTGTCTACATCTGAGCACATTTTGCGCCGGGCCTATCCACAATGGGCCGTCCGACACGTAGTTGAATAGTGATGCTTCAAATAGAACCATTGCAGCGAGTATAGGAAACAAGCGCAGGACTCGGTGTAAATAGAACATGTGTAATGTTCGGATGAGTTTTCCTGAAAGTAAAAAACTTATATTTGATATTAACATCACATCAAATGGATACAAGTGGATTAGCGTTTTTGAAATATTAAGCTTGCGTATTTATGCTCTGCAGTAAGTCTTCTATAACGTCGGGGATTTTTTTCTACCATAATGATTGTTTTATGTAAACAATTTTTATTCAGAAAGTAAGGTTTTTTATTTTTAATATAATGACCCGCTTTTATGTAATCCGCTTACCAATAAAATCTTTGTATTTGTATTTGTATCTAGGAACTCAATAAGACTTTAATCACCGTTATAAAACATACGTGACACCAAACTTTTCTTACGTCTATCGATTATTTGATAACGTATACAATATTTGAATAAAAGATAACAAAAATTGTTGGGAAAAACACATTTAAATCTCATTCAATGTTAATTTGTTGAGGAAATTCTGATTGGAATTTTACTACTTGATTATTTCATATCTAAGAAAACAATTGAGGACAATTTCGCCTATGACGTAAAAATAGTAATTATTCTATGTTATGCAGATTAGATTTATTTGATTGTAGAATAAATATTTGATTGATTGAACAAAAATATGATAAGAAAAAGCTGATCTGATACCCAGCTAGACAGAAATTGTTATTGTTATTAAGTCAAGATAAGTCAATGCCTAATTAAGAATATAAGAATATTGATCACCTTTCCCACAGGCATTATGGTCCATATTACATCAGACTTCCCTTGTGCTAGCATAAATGGACATCTCCGCATTACAGATTCGAAGACAGTATGAAGAAAAACAGATTTCCGCTCTTTAGAATAATCAAGGTAATCTATTTGAAATCTACATGAGTAGCAAATAATTTTGGTAAAGGCACTTAATCAAAAGTACTCCAGCCAAGTTTGGATACGTCAATAGCTAGGAACTACACAGGCCTCGAACTCTTCTTACCATTATCTCAAATACCGTAAAAGCCATTTAAATATTTGCACGTAATTAATATTTGATTTCAATTACGATTACAGTGATAAGAGTAATTAGCATTTTTTGTTTACAGATTCCGCGAGATAAGTATGCAAGCAATGCATTTTTTCATAAGTGATTATTTACGATAAATTTATACGTGTTCTATTATTTTGAAATATTTCAATATTCTGTAAGATGCGAATACTGGTCAAGGTTTAATATTTCCGCTAAAATAAATTAGTCTTACCTCCGGTTAATTTTCCTGCTGTAGAATAAACGAGTAAGAGGCCACTGAGAAGGAAGAACGTATCTACTGTCATATGACCAGCCGTCATCCAAATCGCGTTTGGTGAAATTGACCACTGAAATGGGTAAAATGATATTCAATATTAACTAAATAGAATTTAATGAAAAACATATAGAAAAAATATATTTCCAGTCAACATTTTTATCCAAAACAGGTGATAATTATCATTTAAGAAGCGTGATACATGACGTAAGACATACGGTTATATCATCGGTGGTTGATAGTATCAAAATATTCAGTGTTTTTGATTAAAGGAATTAAATCACAAATAGATAAGTTCTGTAGAGTAGAAAACATTGCTATTTACGAAATGAGAAAAGAGTGAATGTAGATACAATATTTAAACAGTAGAAAATAGGAGAGAGGAGATTACTTAGTTGGAAGACAAAACAGTTTTAAGTACTTATAATATGTATAGCTCACCTGAAACACTTCAAGAGGATTCTCGTGTATTGGTATTGCGTAAAATGCGTGGCCTAAGATCACCCATATCATTGCCAAGGATCTTATCCCGTCAATACAATCCAATGAGTTAGGTACAGGTTTGAACGTTATAAGGCGTCTGGTATTTGTATACATTGAACAACAGAAGTATAGAGAATTGACAGTCCTTTTATCTGCGAAAAAAACAAATAGTTACTTTTTGAAAAATGCAATATATTTTAGACAATATGAGATCAATATGATACGAAAAAGATAAAAAATGTGCTTTGAACGAAATAGATAGTAAAACAGAAAAGATATAAGTTAAACTAGAGAAGAATACTTTGCAGAACAAATATAATTGTTTTGAAAATAAACGTACCTTTTACAAGAACTTTAGAATAATAGATATCGTAGCTCGTACTCAAAATAGTTAATAATCCGATTGTTGAAAATATAGCCCTGGAAATAAAAAATAAACATGAATTAAAGAACAATATTTGGTGATAGCAAAAAAAAATCTTCGAAATAAACTTACACAGCGACGTAATCAACTGGAGCCCATAGTTTATCATTAGGAAGCCGACAGAAGTCTTCCTTGTAATCGATACCAACATCAGTTAAATTGCCTATAATAGTATTTATAACTTCAGGAGTGGTGCAAGGCGCTGGTATACATATCGCTAGAGTTAATTCCAAATCAGACAATGGATTTCCTGGCCCCATACGGCTAAAAAGGTAAATAAAATAATAATATAAATCAAAACTTGTTTTACAAACACTAGCGAAGTTTATACAGTTAAGCTAGTGATGATTGAGGTATCAACATTGCTCAATTTGTCCCAAATATGGTGCACTATCAGTAGCAACGTCTAGTTCGATCTGAGCGTGAATATAAAGATCTAGAAACGATGCTGAAATTAGAGGTATCATGTGCCTAGGAACCTCGACAAAAGGCGTCGATGAACATCTTGGTGTTCCCGCTGCTCGTTTGTCCCTTCTCTTAAAAAAATGTCTCAGATGTGGGAGATGTCTCATTTACTTTTACTTTCTATGCTCTTCAACAATTAAGTAAAAAAGCAAGCAAAATTCATAAATAGTGTTACCTGTTAACATCATAATCTGGACTGTACGGTAATTTCAAACTAGAATTGAGTATTCGCATTCGTGTGTGATTTACATTTTTCATTATTCTTGTAACATCTTCAATAGTATCGAGGTTAAAATGATACGGTTCGGTGGAAATGTCCTCTTTATTTGTTTTCAGTAAATCAATGTCCCCGAGTGATACTTTCAATGAACAATATTTCCCTTGAATGTCCATTTCATTAACGTTTTCTTTTATTTTCAAACATTGGTAGTAACTTCCCAAGTGGATTAGATTTCCCAATAATATACCTTGTGGTATTCGTAGACCGGCATCAAGAACTGCAAATGTATTAAGATAAAAGAAAACTTAAATTAATCTACGTTTAAGGATTGTTAAGAGGAAAATGAACCGGATTAATAAGGAGGAAGAAAATATATTTTTTTTTTGGAATGGTTAGTTTATAAACTTATACGAAAGTCAAATCTTACTTATTAAATTGTAATAAACATATTTTTTTTTAAACAGAATGACCACATTCACATCCACGTTACCATTAATTAATTAATTAGACGATTCATTGAGTTAGATTAATTTTAAAAGAGAATCTAGTAAATCTGTCAATAAATATGAGTACTTACATCGGGCCTGTAACAATGTACTGTTGTTTCTTATATATTGTATTTGTTGTTGACATAATTCTGGATCCAAAACATCCCTGTAAAGATCCTGATCGAATGGATGGTATTTTACATCTTGATTTAAATGTTTCCTCGATTGGCCAACAACTAAATGCGCACTTGTTATTACAATCAAAAGGAATTTCAATTCCATTTTTGATTAACGTGAGTACAGTGTGTTAACTGGTTGTTACTTAATTAACACATGATAATAAAATATCGAACGTGTATTAAGCAATGAGATTTTATTTAAAAGACAGATTCCTTATCTTATCATTGCGCTGTAAATACGTAGATTATTATAAATTGTATTTTTATTTTGCTTCATATCGTGGCTATATGATAATTGGTTTCTCTTTGTAATTCAGATTTCTTACTAACACGTGGGTAATTTAACATTCGCTAGATAAAAAAATAATAAGTGAAGATATGCCCTCAGATGCGTTGTTATGAGGTTCAATATTATACACGTTGACTTATCTCGACAGCAAAAAATATATATTTTTTTAAAAGATGTCTTTGATAATGGTTTTTGAAAATAGGTATAGACTTCCGTCAATTTTTAATAGGTACACTAACTTTTAAAAAAAAACAAATAATTTAAATGTCAAAAAATAAGATTTTAACTAAACCATTTCTTTCCGATTTAAAACTGAATGTTTAAATTTCATTTTAAAAATTACGTAATTGAAGTGGTTGTTTTGTTAACTAAAAGCAATTTGTTACACAAATAAGAAAATGTCTCCAGGTTGCTTACGGAGGGAATCCACAAGGTCGTGTGCACAGAATTGGACAAATATTTGTCATTTTGTGTACTTAGAGCTAGTATTTTATCAAGCTCTGTTCGTATTTAAAATAAACAATTACTTTGGCAAAATTACTGTATGTGAGGATTTAAATAATTTATAATCTTCTAAAAAAATAAGTTTTATATTTTTCCACATGTTTTATTCAATCACAAAATATCCTATTGCTGTTTTATTTTATATTATTTTTACATACGAGGAAAACTAAACATGCTTTTTGTTACTTTTGAAAAGAGATTTACTATGATAGAAAATGATAACTTCTAAAATCTGTGTTAATTATTTATACATATATTTTTTTTTTAGGTAAATTTCTAATATCTGTTATTAAAGAGAGGAAAATCTAAATCTTTGTCTAGCATCATGTAACGTGATTTCATTTTATTACATACACGTGTCAGATCTTTAATACTAAGCAAGAAATCTTACAACACTAAGTAACTGAATAGTTAAGGAATGCTGTACACGTTTCGCGCTGTTGTATTTGCGTCAGACGGTGAATGAGCTAAAACGAGCAAGACCGACTTCCTCAATTGCATTTCAGTTTCGCTTTACAAATCCACAAACATATTCACTTCACACCGTGTATACTATTAAGTCACGTTGTCTCTTAGTAATGATATCAAGTATAGGGTGCGCAGTGTTCAAAGTGCGAAGGAGATAGCATGAGGGGAGAAAGAGAGGGAATAGTTATAATGATGAACTCGTATTCGATCAAGTGAAGAAAATTATTCGAATTATCAAGTGTTGATACTAAAATAGATGTATTATGATTCACTTAGCAATAATTTTCTACATAAATAAATACTTAATTATTGCACTTGAATACACTTGATATGCGATTTATGTGTAATTACTGAACTGATAATTTACATCCGAATTACTAATTTTATTCACGAGAATACTATTTGAAAATATTATTTTACAAATTCTGAGTTAACATGATACATTTTTTCTTTTTTTTTCTGGTAGTTCTAGTAGTTTCTATTATTTACAGTTTTCATATTTATTTTATCAATTAATTTGAAAGTTACTAATTTAAGGGTCTGTCCCACAGCTTAAAAATGACGTCATTATCAGATAAGGTAACAAAATCCGATATTTCCATCATATATTTTACATATTGGATAGTTATCAGACTTAACAATTTGGTGGGACAGGCTCTTATGTGTTTCATAAAAACAGTGCAATTTGGAACTGACTACTGGATGTTTTGCTTCTCTTCGATTTGCATGCACATAAATGATTTTTCGTACAATTGTAATTTTAAAATGTTTGTAATAAAGGAAGTTTTTTTTTTATCCCCCGAGGGGGCCCTAGTAGCACCTGCTGCCTTTGCTGAAGCAGCAACCTTGGTACCTAAATATACCTAATAAAGGAAGTTACTAATAAACGTATACGCAGGTAGTAAATATTCCAGAAATAAATAATGCTCTTGTCAAGTAAAATTTGTTATCCTAAGAATCGATGACTAACAGTTCTTGTCAACAATTAAATTACATAATTATTAAGGAAGATAAGACAAGACACTTGAGATCTTCACCGAGATATTAACAATGCTTTTATATAAGACATAGTGTTGACAGATATTAAACGAGTCATACGACTAACTTTTTTAAAATAGAAATTAATAATTACCTTCAATAATTAATAAATACGCATTAACCGTGGAGTTTTGAACCTTACTATTAATAATTTTTTATGTAACATGTCCAAATTAGTTTTAATTTTGTTAGTTGTTGAAGTTAGTGTATGCAATGGTATTGCCTCAAATAATGTGAATATAAATGTATCAAATTACCCTTTTGATAGAAAGCTTTACCAAGATGTATTGGATTCTGAGTTATGTCAAAGACAGTTGCAATATTTGACAGGAAACAATACTGGCTTAATGTTCCGATGTAAGTATTATAGACTAAGATCCCGTTGTTATCCAAATTCATACAATTATGAAGTAAATTCACGAAATGTCTGTATCCTTGTTACAAACTCCGATGGTTGTATTTTAATGTCCATCTTATAATGGAAGTTAATACAAATATATTAAAAAAAACAATAGAAATTTGCCCGAATTAGTTATATTTTTTAATGAATTTAGCTATTTTAATTTTATTAATATTAGAAGTTTATCTATAGAATACTGTTTTTTGGACTGATTTCAATATCAAATGTTAATGTTATGCAATAATTTTCAAATTCAGAGTTAAATTGTGTAGATAGAAACATGTAGTGATAAGTCCATTTTGATATATTTATAAAAATTCACAAAAGGCAAGTTATTTACAGAGTTCCATTAAAACAATGTAGAAATTGCTGTGAAGTCATATCTTACTTCTTACTAATCTTACTAATATTATAAATGCGAAAGTTTAGATGGATGTATGGATGGACGGATGTTTGTTAGCGTTTGTAGCATAAACGGCTCGACGGATCTACATGAAATTTGGCACAGGTTTAGAGCACAGTCTGGAAGAACTCATAGGCTACTATTTATCCCGGGATAAGTTACGGTTCCCGTGGGATTCATTAATATAGTTTTTTAATGTTTACTCGATCATTCTGCAACGGTTCAACATTTCTTATTGAAATTTGGCACAGATGTAAAACAAAGTTTGGAGTACACATGTGATAAGCTTCACTCCCGAAGTGTCCGGTTCCCGAGGGATACGTAGCTTTTTGTTATTTATATAGTTCGTATGTTTTCTAGTACCACGCGGACGAAGTCGCGGGCAACAGCTCGTTAATATTATAAACGCGAAAGTTTAGGTAGATGTATGGATGTTTGTTAGAGTTTGTAGCGTAAACGGCTAAACGGATTTCGAAGAAATTTGGTATAGATGTTGAAGAGAGTCTGGAAAGACACATAGGCTGCAGACTGTTTTTTTTTTAAATTCCACGCGGACGTAGTCGCGGGCGAAAGCTAGTTGTTTATAAAGATCGGTGTATAACAGGAAAAACTAATTATAATCTCACTATTTACGCAATGAAATATTAATTTGTCTAATCTTATATCAGATTAGAAGCCAATACCATTTTCACCACATTTTCACTATCAACAGATTTAATGGATATATCCGTGATCGCAGATTGTCGCAAAGTGTGATTTTTATCACCAAAATATTACATGATAATATTCAAATTCAACAAAAGGGCAATCCTTGCAACAGTCTATACTGTTATCTCTGCAAAAATTGTTTTGAATAAAAAAAAAAACTATAATTTTCTATGACGCTTGAAATAATCAAATTGACTGAAGTATTTCTAATTAGAACAATTAACTTCTATACGATTTCATTAGATTCTAAAACAAATAATTTGTAAATCTTTAGTACAGTATCTGGAGTTTGATTTGGCACGCCAGACAGAGAAGTTCGCTTACTCTCCACATGCCAACTTAAACTCTGCTTCTGGCAGACTCGTAGATAATCTTTGTCATCCTATTTTTTTAGTTCAGGATGCCAGTGCAAGACTACCTAGAGGAATATTACAAGGCAATTTGGTGGACTTAGGCAATTTTCATCAATGCCTAAACATAAACGAAGATGCAGATAATATGCATATTAAAGGAAAATATTGTATGACAAGAGTATTGGCGGATGATAATTCCCAAATGCTTAATTTCCTATCGGATTGGCCGTCTGGTGATATAAATAAAAGAATAGATAAGATGACGACTGACCGGGTTAAAGAGTATCTAAAACTGGAACGCAGCTTTCGACCAATATTTGGAATGCCTGAACGTAATATAAGGTAAATGTTTCGCGTTAGGTTAGGCAAGGTTAGGTACGGATTAAAACGATATTAATAACTTATCAGATTAAGTCCAACACGATTATGGAAACGAAAATGCTCAGATATTCTATTAAATTTGGCATTTTTTTTGTTAATTAACAATATCGTTATCTGTCTGTTAATGCAAATAGTAATCACAGATACTTAGACGTTAGGATGAGTTTTCAGTATACCAACTGTGATGTGTTTTTGTTTTCTTTTTAGGGTTGGTGCAGATAATCCTATGTCACTTGTGCAATCAGGATTTGCCATGTGTATACCAGCATCTTGCACAACGGAGGAAGCGTTAACGGCATTTTTCTTTAACTTCACCGGAACCGGAATTACTTTGAATGAAGATTTTTGCCGCCTCCCAAATGACAAGCCATGGGTACCAGCAGATTATATTGCGATGTAATTTCCAATTATTACCTTTTGGTTGATTATTGCCAAATATGTTTTAAACGCAATTTATTTTTTAGAGTTGTATTTTCAACTATTGGACTGCTTGTCATATTTAGTACGATCTACGATATTTGGATGACGTTACTTCTAAAAAAAGGTTTTTATTCTTAGTATTTTTATTTATCACTAGCTTTCGCCAGCAACTCCGTTCACGTTGTATTAAAAAAACCTAGTAGCTTATGTGTTCTTCCAGACTGTCATCTACATTTATGCCAAATTTCATTGAAATCTGTTCACCAATTTAGGCTACAAACTCTAACAAACAACCATCCATCCATCTAAACTTTCACATTTATAATATTATTATGAAAGTATGAATTATGAAGTACGATATTAGAAAAAATAATTTAGCTACTGTGAAGATAAAAATATTAAGCATATCAAAAAGTAGAAATACGATAATCAAGGCATTAAATCTCTGTTTGTCGAAGCAATCGGTTTTGCGTAAAATCAATATTTTCAAAGCTATCTTTAGGTTAATGTTCTTGTCGCACGGTTATTGATGAACTTAACGATACATTGAATACTGTTCGTGCTTGACTGCCTGACTAAATTCAATATTTATTTTAAAAATATACCATTTCAATATATCAACGTGATGTGATTTCAAAACTAGTACATTAACTAGCTGTTCCCGTGCGGCTTCATCCGCATGGAATTATGAAAATTTTGTTAATATATTGATAGCAAATGTCAAAATGACATGACATGACAGTACTTGGCAACCTTGCTTCCTTGATGTTGGCAGCAACTTATGGTCTATTTCCCACATTAGGGTTTTTATTTAAAATATTTACCCCCTAAGTTTAATGGCGTGAAAATATATGGCCTAAAGCGTGACGTAAGTGTGGGGCTTTTTATTAAAAAAAGAACTATTCAAAAATATGCTGTAATTGCTGACATCTTAGGCAACAAAGAAGTGTGTGTTTACGCTTTATTATAATAGTAAAGATTATGATGGGCAAGTAATCCACTGTTGAACTTTAGACCTTTAGTAGTCTATAATATGGAAGCAATTCGATACGTATCTCATGAAATTGATTAACAATCTAGTCTTGGTTGACTGCACTTAATAAGGTCAGCAAGAGGTCAATAATAGTGGCTATCTTAGTATACAATCAAATTAACTCACACGTTTTAATAAAAGATGATGTAATATTTATTTGTTTTTCAGATTCTAAAGATGTGAGCGTCTTATATAGTTCGTTCTCTGTATATACCAATGGCCGACGCTTGCTTACATTCAAGTCTGGTCCCAATTCATTAAACTGCATTGATGGTATCAGAGCTTTAGCAATGTTCTGGGTCATCGCTGGCCATACTATTTTTTCTGTAGCTTACTGCATCAATAGAATCGACGGTCTGCTTGTATGTATATGTCTTATTACAGCTAGTTCTTTATTATTACATTATGAGTATAACAATAGTTTAATGAGAAATATTTTCATATGTTCCAGTGGGTACTATCAAAGAAGGCGTTCTGGATCACATCTGCGCCTATTACTGTTGACACGTTTTTCATGTTAAGCGGTCTTCTTGTCGTTTATACTACCGCAGGAAAATTAAATAATGGTAAACTACATAGCGTTGTAATCAGAATATAGAAATAGTAATGCTAAGTCGACGGTCCAATCTAAAATACTTTTATCTCGTTTACAGTTCAACTAATAAAAAATCTGCCACTTTTCTATCTGAGTCGCCTTCTCCGGATGTTCCCGGTCCTCGCTGCCGTGATCTTGTATTTAGTGTCATTCCACAACCGCATTGCGGACGGTCCTAACTGGAATGCACCAGCGATGAACGTGCTCACTTGCAGGCAGTATTGGTGGTCCGCACTATTGCATATACAGAATTGGTACAATCCCAAGGCTATGGTAAGTGCAGCATTTCTACATTTGTGAAATGTATAATTTGAAATCTACGTATATATCATGATAATCATCAGAATATTACGATCTCGCAATGTACCTAATAAATGAAGACATGCTCTTTTCGGGTTACTATTGAAGTTCCTTTGCATTATCGTCTACTTTTTCTAATGTATCTTCAAAAGCTAAGATCGCATCTATGGTCTTTAGATTTAATACAATTATTTGCTTAACTTCTAAGTATTGCAATTTTTAAGATATCAATTGATTATGATTCATTTATTTAAACAACAAATATTAAACGATAAGGGCTTTAAGTGATCAATTTATTGATATGTTTATTTTATTGTTAGTATCTAATTAGATACTGATATCTTAAAGTATCCATCATAGTAATCTTGTCATGTTATTAATATCTTGGTCACATAATTTTCTGTCATTTGTCGTTATAAGATCCGGTTTCTTTTGGATTGTATCATCTTTGATATTGTATCATTGCTAGCGAAATATTATAAGAATGTGAAAATAATAACAAGAATACCTACATCGAATATAAGCTAGACACAGTGCATTTGTTGTTGAAAGGTCTAAAGGGCTGGAATTTGGGTTACCAAAAGTTAGTTGCACTTAACTAGGAATTTTTGAACAAATACATTGACAGTGACAGACTTGAATAGCTGCGTTATTTTATACGATAGTTTTAATTGTTATTAATCTGTTTATAATAAAATTAATTTCAGTGTCTTGCTGAGACCTGGTATCTATCTGTTGATGTTCAGTTGCACATATTGTCACCGATCATATTGTACTGGGTGTTAACTGGCAAAAAACTCTGGGCGTGGAGTGCATTAACTCTTGGTTTATTATCATCTCTCGCTGCTGCTACTGCATATAATTTTGTTAAAAACTTTCAATCGGGGTCATTTTCACAAAAGTGAGTACATTCAATATTCTATTAACAACTAAATGTTTTATACTTTCTTGTTTTTATATTTTTATTTATTTCAATTCTATTATTTTTATTTCAGCGCTGATGAAATACAAAAATACCAAATCTACTATTACACGAATACTTTAACTCGCGCATCGCCTTTCTTCGTGGGAATGATATTCGGTTACATATTACATCTATGGAAAGGAAGACCATTACAAGTCAATAAGGTATATAAGTCTTCAGCACTTATTCCCGTGTCAATTTTTTGTAAGAAAAATATCACAGTTTGATTGATTTTGATTAATTTAAAAACTGACCAATCAACGAAAATTACCACTAATTTTTATTCGATAACCATTGAATCTATAAAAAGATTTACTTTACAGATAATAACTAGCATTACTTGGTTATGTGCACTGTCACTTCTCGGGCTCGTAGTATACTGCGCACGATTGAATGTCGACCAAGACTGGGACAATCAGTTGGTGGACAACATTTTAAATTCCTTCATGAGACCCGCTTGGGCTTTAGGACTTGGATGGGTGATCTTGGCTTGTGTGAAAGGTCACGGAGGTAATTATTGTATAATGGAGCAACAATAAAGCGAGTGGTAAATGTTAATGAACAGCTTGCTTCTTTTGCTAAAGGAGGCAGCAAAGCAAGTTGAAAGTCCCATTTGCAATAGGACATAATTTCTGCAGTGTCACCTAACTATCGTGTTTGACATAATCTCTACCTTTTTACTTTTTGATTATAAAAACTTTTCTTTATAACTCTAAAGTTTCTTGTAACTGTTCCAGAGTGGTATTTTTATACTGTTTGTGAGGTGTAAATTGTTTTCATGCTTTAATTTATCTAAAATTCTATATGTTGTCCCCAGGTCCAATAAACTGGTTCCTATGTCTTGATGTATGGAAGTTGCCGGCACGTTTATCATACGCGATGTATTTAATACATTTAACTGTAATCACTACAAAGTATTCGGCAGCTAGTCTACAAAATTACTTTTCTGTAGAAAATCTGGTAAGTATTCAATTTATTTGAGTAACTAATAGTTATTCAATGTCGGGTTTCTTATTAATTGCGTGGCAAAAGGGAAAATTAAATACTTATAAATAAATGAACAGAATTGTACTAAAGTCAGATCCTAAGTATAAATCTTTAAAACATTTAAAAAGTTGCTTAAAAGGTTGAGGTTGGGTTATCGTCTTATATTTTAAGTTTATTGCTAATAGCATTGACTTAAACGCTAAACTAATCTTGTCTTTGTCAGTGGTAGTGCCCGCTTCAACATCTTAGCACGAATGGGCCGGCACGCCCGGTGTAATACCACGACCACATAGAAGATAGGCGTAAAATGGAAGCAATTCCGTGTTTCGTTTGATGAGGGTGGTGCAATTGCGGATGTCTATGGGCAGCGGTCGCTTCGCCATTTTGGCGTATTCAGGTGGCCGCTTGCTCGTTTGCCACCTTATGTTATAAAAAAAGCTGTTTTTCTGTTTACAATATTTTTGCAGATATTTGACATAACAACATTCTTGATCATTACGATGATGGTTGCATTCGTGGTGACCTTGGTCATTGATGCACCATTCACTACATTATTCAAACTTCTTCTGTCTAAAGGTATGTGTGAACGTATATAAATAGGAAAGAGTAGGTTATTTTTATATTTGAAGTATACCGATTTCTATTTTCTGTCCCTACAAAAATGTAACTCATTAATTTTACTGTTTTTGCAGATTTTACGACAAAAACACAAAAAACAGCAGTTTTAAAAGAAGTATCAGATACAGATCCGAATGTAACGGATCAATAAGTTGAAACAACTTCGAAGAAATTGTAGAAAACTAAATAAATCTGTATTAATTTTAATACAAAAGTCAATTTTAAAAAAAAGCTATTTGAAAAAAAAAATCAATATGAAATGCTGTGTGTAAGAGGATATGCTTAACCCTTAAATGCATATTGTTGCCAAAAGTCTAAAACAAAAGTATAGTTTTTATTGAAACCAAGATTTTTTTTTTCCCTTATTCTGTGGCTCAAAACCTATACTGAAATGTTTATTTCATAATTAAATAAAAAATCACGCATATAAGAGTTAAGAAGAGAGTAGGTTCAGATATGATGGCTGATAAAGAGGTATGGAGGAGCAGCACATGTGCCGACCCTCTATAGAGACAAAGCGGTTGAAGAATTCAATAAAGAAAAAGAAAAACAATAATTTACATTTTTTGATAATCTATACTAATGTTGTAATGAGAAAAGATTTTTATGTTTTTGGATTTTTTATGTATTTAAAAAACTCAATTACTGGGCCGATTTCAAAAACTCTGTCACCATTAAAAAGCTAAGTTATTACAGAGTAACGTAGGCTATATTTTGTTAATTTTCACGTGGACAAAGTGTGGAGCAGTAGCCAGTAAACTATTATTTGATATAGAATAAAAGTTATTTAGTAAATGTATGCTGTTTGTAGATTTTAAGTGTTAGTGGAGGAGTGTCTAACCGCACCGGCAAAGTACTTCCACAATGATGCAATTAAACTAAGCAAGCACGTTACACTGCGTTCATAACAGCTGCTACTGCTGGAAAATCTTGGAAAGTTGCCATTTTACTGACGATAACTTTGTATTGCTTTTATTAAACACTTTATATTTTTTTAATATCAGTATCTATACTTCTATACTATTATAATAAAGCGTAAACACACACTTCTTTGTTGCCTAAGATGTCATCAATCACAGCATATTTTTGAATAACTCTTTTTTTAATACGAAGCCCTTAACTTACGTCGCGCTTTAGGCTATATATTTTCACGCCGTTAAAATTAGGGGTAAATATTTTGGATAAACTCTAATGTGTTAAAGAGACCATAAGTTGTTGCCAACATCAAGGAAGCAAGGTTGCCATAGTTTGACATCATGTCGGTTTTTTGACATTTGCAATTGATGATTTGACAAATGTGAACAATAAAATAAAAATATTATAATCTTATGCGGATGAAGTCGTACAAGAACAGCTAGTCAGTCATAAAAATTCAAGATAGCAGCTATCTTTGATGGTCATACACTTCTTCATTACCTTGATCTTATACTGGTCTTTTAATGCCTTTCATAGTATAGCCAATACTTTCGCCTTCCATGATCTTTTCCAAAGTAACATTCGATTAGATCTTTGATTGAAAACTTATTTAAGTTTGATTGAAAGAAATTACTAAAAGCAAGATACAAGCAGCTTAATAGAGGTAATTTTTTATTATTTAATTAAAGTTATTCACTATCTTGTTTTTTCGTTTCGGAAGCTTATTAGAAAAAGTAATTTCCACGAGGTAACTTTACTTGAACGTTTCCCACCACTAATATTTAGTTAAGTTTTAAGCTAAAAGTTGAATGGTTGCGCAGAGCCAATATAGCTCAGTAGGAATGAATATTTGAATCGCTTGAAAGGAAAAAAATATATTTTCAGTATTTTAAGTCAGTATATTTTGCATTAGTAAATTATTATTTATGTTGAAATTGTTTCATAATGTAACCTAAATTTGGCGTCTTAATTTAGGTGAAGTTAATTTTTAAGTTAATTTGTATTCCTCTGTAATGTCAATTTGAATTTGCAATATTTTGGTATCACTAGATTTTGTACGTCGCCAGCTCGCTCTGTCCTGGGCTCTGCGTTTTGTATCGGACCTTGACAGCCCGATTGCCCTCTGCCCCACTTTGGGGACATAGGACAAGAAGAGAGAAGAGAGGGATCTGTCTACGACTTCGTCAACGCGAAATTAAAAAGATCTATTAATACTTTTAAAAGATACGTAACAAACATTCGTTCATCCAAGCTTTCCATTTATAAAATTACTATGGAGTATGATAGACATCTTAAAATAGTAGTTGTATTTTAAATAAATACAAGGAAGTTACAGGAACCGCATCAAGGAATTCGTTGTTTCCTATTAAACTATTCGCATTTTGTTTAATTAAAGGTCACCTTTTTTTAAAAAATCTTCTTTTTCTATTACAAAAATAAGATACACTATTTTTATTGTATAATATTTGAATTTGATTCCTTTTAAATGATTAGTCTAACCTTTGAAGACAAACTAACCTTGATGAAAACAGTACGTTTGCTCTGAAAACATCTCAAAGCAACTAATAAATTCAATTTTCGTATACATTCCGTTGTTTTCGAGATTGTTCATATTTCTAGTCGTAAATCATTCTCTAGAGATGACGAATAAATCATTTTAGGTCACGTTTCAATCTGATACTATAGAGAAATATTTTCCTACTGAAAAATGTCTAACCCAATTCAATTACAAAAAATAATGATGCATATTGTGAATTTAAATATATGAATACTAGCTTTCGCCCGCGATTCCGCCTCCGTAGAATTAAAAAAATGACTAGCCTATGTGTCCTTCCAGACCCTCCTCTATATCTATGCCAAATTTCATTGAGATCCCTTCAGCCGTTTAGGCTACAAACTCCAACAAACATCCATCCACCCATCTAAACTTTTGTATTTATAATATTAGTAAGAAGTAAAAAGTAAGGTGTAGATTAACTACAGTATGAATACTAACTAATCTACCATACATTTCTATCGGCCGTTATTACCTATATTTACTTCCTTTTTACGCATTACCACTTCATTCGAGCATTTCCTTCATATGTGGAAAATAAATGGTGTTGTTTATTGATAAATATTAAGGAAAAGCCTTACAAAAATTAAGAAAATCGTAACTTTTACGAGTAAGTAAAAATGATAAGCAGTCCGCACGTGAGGAGACTCTTAAGCAAAGGGTTGTGGAGGATACACTCCCATACTCCCATGTGTAATTGCCGTATTTCTAACAAAAATGTTTTCGCGTATTTCTACGTGTACAAATTTGCAAGATACGTGAGATGTTGCAAAGTATAAGATGAACTAAGCGTGAATAAATAAAAGGTAAAATGTGTTTTGATCCAACAAGGACAGACAAGTATTAAAAATTGTAATTCATAGTTACATTAAACATGTCACGGCTTAATCAAAATAAAATAAATTGAAGTCTATTCGAATTTTTCGTCCACAAATGATTTAAATATTTTTAACATGCAAGTTTATTGGATTATTTACTTTATGTGTTGTAATTACTTCTGTATAAAATAAAATAAAATTTGATTTAAGTAAAACATAGTATGAGAGTTTTCATCGACTTTTGTGTTTTCAAAGTGGATTTCTTTGGTCGATTGCGCGGCGACACCTGCCCGTTAATTTATCGGTAAAAGTTAGAACTCACTGCGGTTTGAAATCGACGTAATCGTCGCCGCTCTGTTTCAATGACTGGAGTCCGAGCTCGTCGTTTTGTGATCGATCGACCGATTTAACAAAGAATCAGTGAGCATTTCATGAAAGAATTTATTTCTATTATTTTTAATCGGTACAAGCTTCATCATTTATTTTGAATAGGGTTTTCTACGACGATTTACTTTTATTCAATTTAATTTATATTTTTAACTGACAAAAAAGATGACAATACTGCAAAGAGATTGATATGTTACTAACCTTACTTCTTACTAAATAAATAAATGCGAAAGTTTACATGGATGGATGTTTGTTAGAGTTTGTAGATTAAACAGGTGAACGGATCTATATAATATTTGTCATAGATGTAGAGGATAGTATGGAAGAACACATAGTATACTTCCTTTTTTTTAATTTCACTTATAAAGAGTTGCCGGCGATAACTAGCAAAGTTCTAAAAATGTTATGTTCTTATGGAGAAAAGACCGACCACCTTGCCTTTTCACGCTCTAGACTTAAGAGCTTCAATTTGGATCGTCCTTAAATTTATTTTATTTGTGTGGAGTTCAAGCTTCCATTGTGAGGGTATATCAAATAGTCCCTAAATTCTAGCCTGGCCGGATACGCTGTACGCAAAGTTAGGCAACTAATGGACGTTGAGACATCTCTAACGGCGCACTTTGCTAACTCTAATAAAGTTAGATCTTACTGTCTAGTTCTCCGACAAAGCTTCTGCCAAATGTTAACATAAAAAGTAAACATATTCTATTTCAACAATGAAATATATTCAACACAGTTTTTATTACGTTGTGTTCTAAGTTTTAGATTGTTCGTTTTATTATTTTCTTAACTTATAATTCACATGAAACATTAAAATCGTAACTGTGAATTTACAGTTTTAGATAAATATTATTTGAATAAAAATATTACATTTGTGACTTCAATAATGATATTTACGGCGAAAGTCTGCAAGAGATAGGGACAATTTTAGTGAGAAACTACATCTAAGAAAATGAAAGTATGAAACTTTTTCAAATAAATTATTTAGGTATCTCATTTATAACAAAGGACGAAAGTAAATGATTGTGTCTGTGCGTGAGAAGAATGTAAGAAATTGTTATTGGACGCGATTTATACTAACAGACACCTACAATATTTTTTTTATATTTTATAATATAAATAAAATGGCTTAAATATTACAACCACGTGGTAGTATAATTTTATCATCATCAACCCGCTCTACGTAGGGTCAGCAGAGTATGTCCTGCTATTCCATACATCTCTATCAACCGCGATATATGAATTCAAACCCTTCTTAAGTATATCTTTCACACAATCCATCCACACTTTTTATGGCCTTCCTCTACCTTTGTAGACGTGTATATTCAATTTATTTTACGTGGTATAAATTAATAAAATAAAATGTAAATACATCTCTGGCATACCCAAATAAAGGCAAGAAGTAATAATAAAATAAATACTACCGTTCATATTTCCCTTAATTTGCGAATAATATTGAATCCTGTTAATAAATGCTATCGTAA